CACCACTGCCTGGCTGTAAGGAGATAATGATTTTTTCTTTGTTTCTTTGGGAAAGGCTTTCCTTGTGTAGTCCTGCTAGCTGTTCTGGAACTCAGAGATCCACCTCCCTTTGCCTCCTGAGTGATGGGATTAAAGGCATGCACCATCACACCAGGTTCCTTATGCTGAATATTTGAAAAAGATCTAACATTTTATTTTATTCTTCTCTCATATAATACATCCTGACTGAAAGGAAAAGTATTAGCTCAGGACCCCCAAAACCAAGCTCTAGGCACAAAGGTGATTTTTTTTTTTGTCCCAGAGGGACAGAGGGACAGAGGGCAGGGAATAAGATGCAAAGACAGGAGATAGAAAAGGGGGAAGGAAACAAGGTGGGAAAGGAAACTTTGTCCCAGAGGGGAATGAGACATGCCGCATAGGAAAGTGGCAGTTTATAATGGTACAAGGGGAAACCTCATGTTAGTATGAGGTGTTTAATTTTAATTGGACATGTTAGGTAAGTCAAAGGAGGCTTTTGATTGATAGACTTCAATACATTGATAGCTGGACCTTGTTAGTAAGCTGCAGGAGGAGTAAGTGGCCAAATAAGCAAACATATTTTGGTGGCTAGTTTTAGCAATGTAATCTGACAGTTTTTAGCAAGGCAGAGAGAATGGGAGAGAAGGGCAAGGCCTGACAGAGCCATGCTGGAGTGGGCTAGTGTTCTTTCACTGACCATAGCCTCCTCTCCCTCCACTCCTCCCAGTCCTCCCTCCACTCCTCCCAGTCCTCCTTCCATTCCTCCCAGTCCTCCCTCCACTCCTCCCAGTCCTCTCTCCACTCCTCCCAGTCCTCTCTCCACTCCTCCCAGTCCTCCCACCTCCCTGACAGAGCCATGCTGGAGTGGGCTAATGTTCTTTCACTGACCACAGCCTCCTCTCCCTCTACTCCTCCCAGTCCTCCCTCCACTCCTCCTAGTCCTCCCCACCAAAAGAGCCAAACACCACTTAACACAATGCAGTAAGACTAGGTACAAACCTCCATTATCAAGGCTGGACAAGGCAACCCAGTAGAAGGAAATTGTCCCAAGAGCAGCCAAAAAAGTCAGAGACACTCCTACAACCACAGCATGTATGCAGAGGACCTAGTGCAGACCCATGCAAGCGTCATGATTGCTGCATTAGTGTAAAGAGACTTAACTTTTAAAGGGTTTGAATTTTTAAAGACTGAAGCTTTTAAGGTTATATTTTATATTGTGATACTAACATGAGATCTTGGGAGTAAACAAGAAAAGGAAAGGTTATGGTCGAATAGTGATGTGTCTGTGTCAAGCTGACAAGAAATCATTTGTGCTAGTTAGTTTTTTGTAAGCTTAATACAAACTAATCATCTAGGAAGAGAAAATATTAATTGAGGGATGCCATCATCAGACTGGTGTATAGAGAAGTTTTCTGGGGTATTTTCTTGATTAATTATTGATATGGGGTCCCCAGACTACTGTGGGTGGTGCCACCAGGTGGCCCTTGTACCTACCTATTGCTGATTCCTCAGTAGTATAAGAAAGCAAGCTGAGTCAGTTAGGGAGAGCAAGCTAGTAAGAAGTGTTTCTCCACGGCGTCTGCCTGACTACAGGTCCCTGTCTTGGGTTTATTCCTTGATTTCCCCTAATGATGGACTATGATTGGTATGTTTAAGTCAAATAAACTCTTTCCTCCCCAAATTAGCCTTGGTTGGTGTTTTAAAAAAGTGAACCAGGACACAGAGCTAACACCAGTAATTGAAATTACAGAGTAATCAAGGACTATAATAATTCCTTACAATGCTCACACAAATAAGACAGGGTAAAGGATCCTAAAGGCATGTGGAAGAGAGACCTCCATGTGCACAAGCTGGCTTACCAGTATGCAAGAATCAAGGGAGAGGCTCCAGGAATACTGATGGAGTCAGAAAAACTTTCCTGAAGCTGAGGATGTATCTCACTTTGTAATGTGCTTTCTTAACATGCACAAAGTCCTGTGTTCCACTCCTTACATAAATGTTCCGTGGTGGCTCCCACCTGGAACACCAACACTCAGGCCATCAGGCAAGAGGAACAGATAGATGTTCAAGGTCATCCTGGGCTGCATAGAGTTCCAGGCTGAAGAGTGCTTTTCTGCCATCTTGTAGGGTGAGTTCTTTTCCCTAGCCTTGACTTTCAGGTCTATTTAGACGTCTATATATTGTGCAGAGATTGTGCCTGGTCCAACCTCCAGCCCCATTCTGGGGCATGGGTGCTGCCTACAAGTCTGGCTCTAAGTTCAAGTTTCTTCCTCTACATGATTGACAGATTGCAACTCAATCTGTACAGGAGAAAACTAGAATTGTGCCTGACCCAGTTCAACATTGCTAATTCCTCAGGTATCATCTTGGTAGTTTTTCTGTTAGTCATGTGAAGCCTAGCTCTCAACATGGATTCCCTTTTGGCCTTCCCAGTGGTACGGCAGACTTCCATGGTTTCTGCATGTTGCCACTCACATAGGGGAATGGGTGTCAGAGCTCAGGTTTGACTTACGCTGCTGTAGGACCTTAGACCCAGCACACTCTGTTTATCTCTGGTTACTAGTCTACAGGATTTACTCAGCTGGGAAAGCTTGCATATAAACCTCTAAAAATACATTAGAACTGTGTTGAGTATGGTGGCTCATTCTTTAATCCCAGCACTTGGGAGATACAGACAGGCAGAGCTCTGTGTGTTCCAAGGCCTCAAGCTCAGCCTGATCGACATAGAGAGACTGTCTCAACAACAACAACAACAACAACAACAACAACAACATACAAACATGGGAGGGAGAGGAAGGTGGGTTTATGTGAGTTTGAGGTCAGCTTCCTTTACATAGTGAACTCCCAGGACAGCCAGAGCTCCATAACAGAGCAAGACCCTGCCTCAAATGGCCTCCCCAAATAGAAAAAAAGAGAATGCATAAAAACTAAGTCTTGTAAGTATGCTGCCAAGCTTAGTGATCTGGGTTTGAGACCCACATAGTGACAGGAGAGAGTCAATGCCTGTAAGTTATCCTCTGACCTCCAAAGCACATCAAGGCTCATGTGTCCATGAACACACAAAACACAGAGATGCAATAAAACCTAAACAGTATTTATCAAGGTTTCCTGTAAAATCTCAAGTAAAAAAGGCCAAATGCATTTGCATATTTACTACTTGAAATAAGCACTGGGGTGGGCAACCTCTAGACTGTGAGAATGGGGTATTATTTGTGAATGACACACAGATTTCAACTGTGACTCATAAATGTTCCAACTTGGGCATCTGTAGCAAATCCTGCAAGGGCCCACAGGTTTTATTTCAGATATTCAGGACAGCATCCAAGGCTAGCTCATAATCACAACTCACCAAGACATTCAAAACCCATCTCATGATATCTGCTTGCCAACAATTACAGGTGGTGACAGACAAGCTAAGTCACAGCACACACACAGGAGCGGAAAACGGCATGGCCACTTTCATTCCTGGAGCAAACATAATATGAAGGTGTAAAGCTCCTCTTCTTCTTCAACAGGGTTTCTCTATATATCAGCCCCTGGCTGGGCTAGCCTCAAACTCACAGATATCTACTGGCCTCTGCCTCCTGAGTGCAGGATTAGTGGAGGACAGAAAGTTTGATAGGAAAAAAGACAGTATACAATCATAAGATACTGGTGTGGACTTCTATAGGGTATCTCATTTAAGTGTATCTTCAATGCATATAGATATATCAGTATATAAGTGTATATATATGTGTATCAGTATATAAGTGTATATATATGTATATATATATATATATATATATATATATATATATATACACACACATATAAAATCTTGTGGCTTTCTAAGTTATATTACTCAAAGATGTAATTTATAATAAGGTTTAAAGATTAAGCAAAGCTTAAAATTTAAATAATATTTAAAAATTAAGTACAATATATTAACCGATTCATCCTTAATGAATTTGTTTGTAAATTAAATTGTAAGATGGTTTTATGAGGTATATTGTTCAGATATAGGGTGGAGAGGACTGCTAATATGGTAAAATTCAAGGTTATAGACACTTTGGCCTTAAGTAAGTGGAATTTATTTGTCACCTTACTATTTTCATTTTGTTTTGAGATGAGTTTTCATTTTGTAGTCCTGACTGCCTTGGAACTTGTTATGTGGATCTCGCAGGCCTTGACTTAGGAAGATTGCTTGTCTCTGCCTCTGCATGCTGTGATTTCAGAGGTGTACTGCCATGCACATCTTAGTTTGAGATATCTTTATGAAAAAACACATTTTTCTCTGTAGGCAATTTTTGGCTGTATCAGTTGTGTTGACATTTTAAATTTTTCATCATTAAGTCTCAGGGTGAGAGGCTTCTTTTTTTTTTTTTTTCATGACCTCTTCATTTTCCCTGTCTTTTTAGCCCGTCTCACTACCAACGATTAGAATTTAGCACGGCATCCAGATAACAAAAATAAAGCCTAAAGACTAGTGGTTGAGTGGAAGTGATAGGCTGGTTCACAGATCTGGCAGTTTATCTGCTCAGGAAGTACAGGAACCAAGAGGAGGTAGGGAAGGAAAGGTTTCTGAGCCTCCTGAGACCCCGTACTTCCCGGTCTGCGTTTAACTTCGCTCTGGGCTTGGTCGTCGAGAAGGCCGTTCTCGCCCAGAAATCTTGCTCAAACTTCAATTTCCTCCTTTGACTGGGTTTTTAACCTCCGCTTCGGAATCAATCGGCACCCAGGTCCGGGGAACCGAAACTTCTATTCCGGAAGGATTCCGACTCCGCAAGCGGAAGTGAACCTCAGCTCGCCTCCGTCTCTTCCGGTGTGGCTTCGCGCGGCCCCGTTCTCTTTTTCTCGGTAGTAGCGGGCTGGCTGGGCGGGTTCTGCTGAGGCTGGGTGAGGGGATGGGCGATGGCGGAGGTGGGGAGTGAGGTCTGGGTGTGGCCTCCGTGGCGACTCGGTTCGTCCCCAGGCCGCGCGTCTCGTCCCATCGCTTCTTAGAGACTAGGGCCCTACAGTTCTACTGTCCCGGCCGGGGGCCATTTCACATGAACCGTATTTGAGCTCCCCGTGCCTTCGAATGTGGTCCTGGATTACCTTTTGTAAGGTAATCTTACAAAATTTTTGCTTTCTAGAAAAAAAAAAAAAGGATTTCGGCCGTTGGAGTCCGGCTTAGCGCCCCATCGCCCCACAACCTGGCCATCCCGCTTCATTGTGAGCAGTGGGTGCAATTTGATGGAACAGGAACGACCCAGGGTGAGGAGTTTCTTTCCTTTTTCATTTCCTCTTCCCTATCTTTCTAGCCTCTCTCACTATCAACTACTAGAACTTAGCATCCTTCCTTTTTTGGAAACCGATGCTTTCCACTAGTTCTTTCTGTTTTATCTATTTACCTATCTCTATTTTTTACCAAACCTCATGCATCCATTTTGAGTTGTTTCATTTAGGCAAAAAAAAAAAAAAAAAAGTGTTAAATGCTCAGGCTGTGCATATTCATCTGTTTTGCACACCACAAATCGTCCCTTACTTCTTCTCTTCATCCCAACAATAAAGTATTCACAAGTAAAGAAATAGAGAATTTGGCACTGAAGGGATGGCTAATGAAAAATTGGAACTTGGGGCTGGAGAGATGAGTTAGTGGTTAAGAGCCCACATGGCACTTCCAGATCATCTCATTTTGGTTCCCGGCACCCATGTTAGTGGCTTGTAACAGCCTGTAATTCCAGTTGTGTTGGAATGGGGAGACCAGAGATTCTAGGCACTTTCAGTCATGTGATGTACGAATGCGCACACGCTCACACTTGAATAAATAAGTGGAACTCTATTAAGGAGTGGATGATGCTTTATTTGTTATGTTATTTCTCCACCGGTGAAATGAGCCAATTCAAGCCAGATTAGAATACGTTAAATGTAAGTTTATTGTGAAACTGCTCTCTGGTGAACAGGGTCCAGGGAAGTCACTATGTGGGGTGGGGGCGTGGGGAGGAGGAAAGGCGCCTGCGGACAGAGAGAGAAGAGACAGGGAGACATGGAGAGACCAAAATGTCTGGATGATACAGGGAAGAAGAGCCTAAGCGGGCAGGGCAGCCCAGCCCCTGGCCTGGAAAGTTCGGGGCTGGGACAGGGTGTATGTTCATACACGCACATTGTGTATTTTGATCTTATACTCTCTTGCCTCTTAACATCTTTCCTTTTGTCAAATAGTCCCTCATGTTGGTTTTTCTTTTAAAACAAGGTCTGTTGGGGGCTGGAGAGATGGCTTTGTTTTTAGAGCACTTGTTGTTCTTGCAGATGTCCTGGGTTTTATTCCCAACATCCATATGGTGGCTCACAACCACCTGTAATTCCAGTGCCAGAGGATTGGACACCCTCTTTTGGCCTCTAGGGGCCTCAGCCACTCAGGTGGTGTACATATATACACGCAGACAAAACATTAAAAAATGTATTTTTAAAAAGATGCATGCATGCATGCCTTTCCTTTTCTTAGAGGCCAGAATGGGGTGTTGGATCACCTGAAGCTGGACTTACAGGTAGCTGTGAGCCACCTGTTGTTGGTGCTGGAAATGACTCTGTTTCTCTGTAAACACAGCAAACAATCACTTTGCCATCTCTCCAGCCTCTGCTTTTAAAATTCTTTTATTATTCATTTTTTAAACATTCATATGTGTGGGTATTTTGTCTGAGTCTAGGTCTGTGCACCCTATGGGTACAGTTTCCTTGGAGGCAAGAATCGGGCATGAGATCCCTGTAAAACTGGAGTTACAGGTTGTCCTGGGCTGCTGTGTGGGTGCTGGGAATGAGTCGTGGTCCTTTGAAAGAACAGCCAGTGCTATTGATTTCTGAACTGTCTCACCACCTCTGTTATGATTATTATTTCATTTATTCATTTTTGAGATGAGGTCTGTAGTCTAGGCAAGCCTGGCACTCACTGTGTAACCCAGGATGTCTTTAGTGCAATCCTGTTTCAGCCTCCCTAGTGCTAGGATTACTTTGTTGGTTTACTTGCTTAGTGTGATCTCTTTCTATCCGCCTACCAGGTTAACCATTGTAAGACAGCCATGTGTTAAAGTATTTGAACTTTAAGATTCAGCTCTTAGGGATTTATCTTACTAAAGTCACAGCAGTGACTTAGTGAGTAATAGTTGACTGTTAGTCAGCTATTGACTGAGACTGAGACTGAGGAAGATGATAGCTTGACACCTTGATATCTGGGCTAGCTGGAACAACAGAATGAGATGCCCCAAGAAGAAAAAGTGTCAAAGTATAATTAGTGGGAACAAAAATGTTAATGTGTGGCTGAGAAAGCCTAGATTCAATGAGTCACAGTGGAGGGGAACAGACTTGCTACAGGCTCTGAGAACCAGAATGGTGGCAGGCCGAAGTAATTTAAAAATGACCACATTGAACAAGACCTTCTGGTGTGCATACTGATCCTGAGCAGTGGAAAGAACAGGAAGGAAAGTTAGGACCTAAGTTGTTTGTTCAGTCCCATTTTGCAAACCAGGGTTTGGAGTAGATTGTGTACAAGATGACAGTGTAGAAACTTTCTGGTAGTCTGATGGCTGTCAGCCCTATTTAGTGAACATTTAATTCAGTGAAGATGTGTGTATTTGTGTAAAATACAATTCTGTTGAAAGTTACAGTTCAAGTAAAGTCTCAATCAGTAGGAAATAATTTTCACAACTTTCAAGAAACTACTTACTTCATGTTTTGAGAGTCAGATACTTAGCTCATTATAGATAAACCAGTTGGGGACCAAGTATTTAAGTATCTGAGTCTGTGGGGGATATTCTCATTTATACCACCACATGGAGGGAACATGTCATACATTTACAAAGTTTACTTACATGGTTAAATCAAAAGGGACTTAGTTTTAGAGGCATGTTTGGACCATCTTGTACTTCCTCTTTCCATTCCTTTTGATAGATGTCAGGGTTCTAGAGCAGAGCTTCTCTTATTAGCAACTGTGGCTGCTTCAGGAGTAAACTTAGAGAACTGGAATGGGATTTATTGAGACACCTGGATGGCAGTGCTGAGTACTATGTGTGATACAACTCTGGAGTGTTTTACTTTTCATCCCTAGCTAGGATGTCCCAAGTAAAGTGAAGTGAAGTGAAGTGAAGTGAAGTGAAGAAGTGAAGTGAAGAAGTGAAGTGAAGTGAAGAAGTGAAGTGAAGAAGTGAAGTGAAGTGAAGAAGTGAAGTGAAGTGGTGAAGTGAAGTAGTGAAGTGAAGTAGTGAAGTGAAGAAGTGAAGTGAAGTGAAGTGAAGAAGTGAAGTGAAGTAAAGTGAAGTGAAGTGTAAGGACCCAACCAGAAATGTATACCTGGCAAAAGTTGAAGCAATCATTTCAGTACTCATTGCTCTGAATAACAAATTCTCACATCTTCTAACTCATTAATAAATTACTGAACCATTGCTTAACATTTTCCCTATTAGCAAGCGAAATAAAAAAAACCTATAGGAGTCTTGGCGGGCAGTAGTGGCGCACGCCTTTAATCCCAGCACTTGGGAGGCAGAGGCAGGTGGATTTCTGAGTTCGAGGCCAGCCTGGTCTACAGAGTGAGTTCCAGGACAGCCAGGGCTACACAGAGAAACCCTGTCTTGAAAAACCAAAAAAATTGAAAAACCGAAAAACAAAACCAAAAACTATAGGAGTCTAACCATTTGATAACCAAAGTGGTGGCAGAGGTTGGGGGAGACGGGGCACTCACAATAAAAAATATATATAATTTTTGCATTTATTTATTTATTTTTTGTGTGCCATACCATAAGTGTGAAGGTTTGGGGACAACTTCTGAGAATCTAGGGACAGCTTGTGAGAATTGGTCTCTCCTAAAATGGTGAGACTTAAGTCATCAGGCATACAAGTGAGAGCCTTCACCCACTGAGCCATCTTACCATCCCCCACATACTTTTTCTTTTATAAAATTTAGTTTTGTTACTTTTTTGAGATCTTTGTGTAGCTTATTTTGATTGTATTCACCCACCCTGCTTCCTTTCAGATCTACTCTTTCAAACCTAGCTTTGTGTTCTCTTTGTTCTTTTTGAAAATAAACCCATCATGCCCAGTTTGTGTTGCATGTTATTCTAGGAGATGTGGACTTGCACTGTGGTAAGGTTGACCGTGAAAGAAATACGACTTTCTCTATCTAAGCAGCTGTCAATTGAAAATAACTCCTCGCCGGGCAGTGGTGGCGCACGCCTTTAATCCCAACACTTGGGAGGCAGAGGCAGGCGGATTTCTGAGTTCGAGGCCAGCCTGGTCTACAAAGTGAGTTCCAGGACAGCCAGGACTACACAGAGAAACCCTGTCTCGAAAAACAAACAAACAAAAAAAAACAAAAAAAAAAAAAAAGAAAATAACTCCTCATCTGGGGTGGAATTTAAAACCTATCTCTGTCTCCATGGTGGAATTGTGTCTGGCTTGAGCTAGCATAGCTCTTGTACATGCTGTTATAACTGCTGGTGGAGTTTTTAGGTCTTCTATGTATAAAATATTATCTGCAAATAATGATACTTTGACTTTCTTTTCCTATTTTTCTCCCCCTGGTCTCCTTCTGTTGTCCTTTGCTCTAGGTAAGATTTCAAGTAAGGTACTGCATAACCATGTAGAGAGTGAACAGTTTTGCCTTGTTCCTGATTTGAGTGGAATTACTTGAATTTCTCTCGGTTTAAGTTGATATTAGCTATAGGCATTTTGTAAATGCCTTCGTTATATTCCTTGTATCTCTGCTCTCTCCAGGGCTTCATCATGAAGGATGTTGGATTTTGTCCAGGACCTCATCCTTCATCCAATGAGATGACAATGAGGTTTTATCTTTCAGTCTCTTTATGTAGTTGGTTATGTTTATCGATTTATATATGTTAAACCTTCCCTGTATTTCTAGGATGAGACCTACTTAATCAAGGTAGATAGTTTTGTTTTTTTTTTAAGAGAGAGTCTCTCTGTTGTAGTCGTGGTTATCCTAGAACTCTGTATAGACTAGGCTGGCCTTGAAGTCTCCCTGCCTCTGTCTTTCAGCTGCTGATTAAGAGCAGATATGTCTTTCTGATGTGTTCTTGACTTTGGTTTGCATGTTATTGAATATTTGCATCTATGTTCATAAGGAAATTGGTCTGTAATTTAAAAAACTTTTTTTTGAGGGTGTAGTGGGTCTTTGTATGGTTTTGGTATCAGAGTAACTGGCCTCATAAAAAAGAATTAGAAAAATTGCCCTCCCCTCGTTTCTATTTTGTGGAATAATATGAGGAGTA